GCTCCGGTAGTAGGCGCCATCACGATTTCCGATGGTGCGAAATCCGGGTCGTGACACGGATTTAATGCCAAAACTTGCAATAGATTCGAGTAATATAACCAAAATTGAGTTAAGAGCACTTACCCCATTGTTCTCTCCAAAAATCTCCCGAAAAATCGCCTTATCCAAGATCCAAATCGTCAAAAATGGAAAATGGGAACGAAGTCCCATTTTCAGAACTTAACATCTCTGCCCAGGCCATTTTTTCGCTTCTGCGGAAAAATTTCCGCTTCCGCGGCAAATTTCCGCTTCTGCGGTTATGACAGCAACCAGCACTTTCTCGACACGGAAATGAGCATAACTCCCTCATACGATGTCCAAATTCGACGATTCTTTTTGTTATACCTCCGAAATTATGATTCAGATCTAATGGTTCAATAAAAACTTAATTTGGAACTCATTTACTTAATATGGTACCTCGTTATGTCCAAAGATACAGCGTTGAAACATCAAATAAGAGCGCGATACAACCCGAAACACACCCGAGGCCCCCGGGACCTCAACCAAAAGCACCAACGCATCTTAAAACATTATTCAAACTTGTTCCAATCCTTAAAACACCTCAAACAACACCAAAACCATCAAATTACATCGAATTCAAGCCTAAGTTCTTCTAAAACTTCCAAAACACGCATTCGATCAAAAATCCAACAAAACCACGTCCGAATGACCTGAAATTTTGCACACATATCCCAAATCACCTAATGAAGCTACAGCAACTCTCGGAATTCCATTCCGACTCCCGGATCAAAATCTCACCTATCAACCGGAAATCACCAAAATACTAACTTCGCCAATTCAAGTCTAATTCTACACCGGACCTCCAAAATCACTCTGATCACACTCCTATGTCACAAATCACTTCCCGGAGCTAACCGAACCATCGGAATTCACATCCAAACCCTCTAACTCATAAGTCAATATCCGGTTGATTTTTCCAACTTAAGCCTTGTTAAAATAGACTAAGTGTCTCATTTCTTATCAAAACCACTCCAAACGCAACCCAATCAACTCGACCACATAAGACACGGATAACGAAGCATGTTGAAATAGAAAATAGGGAAAACGAGGCGATAACTCATGAGACGACGGGTTGGGTCGTCACACGAAGACTGAAATCTGAAGGGACATTTTTAATATTCAAAATGGTGAAAAAAAGAAAAGATCTTGCACATACTTTTAAGTATTGCTATTTTTCATTCATAATTCAAATCAAGTTAGTTTCTTGTTGCTATTGTGCAAGTTTTCTTATTGCAATTGCTGAGTATTCTAGAGCTTGTTTGGCCTATTTATTGCTGTTGAGGCTCTGTTTGTGACTCGTTATTGGATTTCTAGTTTTCTTATATGGCATTTCGTGAATCGGTTAGCTTCTTTTGCTTTGCTGGTATCTGGCTTCGTCTTGTGAGAATCATCTGCCGTGTTGGCTCTGAACTCCATATTTGCACTGGGATCAATCACTTCTTTAACCACCTGTTTCCATGTTAATGTAGTTTATGAGTGTTTTGATAACATAATTTCGCACTTAAAACTAGACATATAACTTGGTTAAATATTAGACATTTCATGCTCTTAAGTAGTAAATTACTAGAACTTGACTGTTAAGATCTTATTATGTTTTGGGGTAAACTGAAACTTGTAAATGATACTGAAATCTTGTTAGATCTCATTTCCTAATTTACAGCCCCAACGTTAGTGCTGATACTCAATAAAACTTACCTTTTCTAAGAAAAAAGAAGTAGAAAACTTGATTCTCAACAGACATTTTTTCCATCAACTATACTTTTATATTTGAAGATTAATATATCTACTGATTTAGTTACTATCTGATCTTTTCTCATACAGAAGGCATATCTTCTATGTAAAGCAGTTATTTTTATTTTATTTATGTTTGAGTTGTTCGAACTCGAAAAGCATTCTGTGTCAGTTCTTCCACTTCCTTTCTATTTGCTTTTTTTTTTTTGCTTGAGTTCTATGATCCCTGCCTACATTAGAAAGTCAGATATTTGGGATGAGAATTGCTAAAATTGGAGAAACTTATCATTTGTATAAAAAAAAGAGAACCTGCTTAATGTGTAGTACTTGAATCTTTGAAACTAACCTTGCCTCATATGTGTAAATATTTTCACAACCAGACACCAATAAGAAGTTTTAATCTGTTTGTATATGTTATACAGTCATCTAGATATCATGCCCTCCAGTTGCCCATGTAAGAAAGTCACACTTCTATTAAAGCCAACAAAGATCTGAATCACTGCTCTTTTTCCTTCTTTGTCTGATTTAAGTTGTCGACAATATAAACTGAACTAGAGAGGCTGTATTTAGGATGTTTGATTGAACTCTTTTTGTATTAAGAATAACTTAGATAGTTAGATGCATGTTTAGGGTCCCAAGGATCAAGGGGAGTCTGTCGTGAAACATTGAAGCCTATTTAGTTATTTCTAAGTTTGAGATGTAATTTATAGTGAACAAAGTCATGGTGAATTGGTAATTGAGAGGTGGGGACGTTTCTGTGCAACTTGTTTCTTTCGTATCTCTTTACTTTTCTTTAAATTTTTGTCAGCATGCTTTAGTTAAACTTTTAATTATCAAATATTAGTATCACATCTAGGACCTTAATAACAAGGAAAACCAGTTCTATGTTTGCGTCATGTATTCTACAACAACTACTAAATAGTATTTTAAGGCTCTTAAAATGTATTGAGCTTTCTGATATAAAACCTTTATTTGTGTCCTTTCTCTGAGTTTATTTTTGTATAAAAGGGCAGTCAGCATATAAAAATTCTGTCTTGTTGTTAGTTGGAAAGCCATAACTACTCTCCATTAGCTGTCTAATGTTGCCTGTCACATCAATTTCTGACTCTGCAATTCTGTCTCACAAAACTCTCAAAAATGGCTGCCTTGACAGGAGTTGGTATAGGTAAAAAGCTTTGGTCCACATACATTCATTATCTTTTGTTGAACATGTAATCTAATCATGTCAATGTGGTTGAGGTTCAATCACCCTGCACATTCGTTACTAAGATGATATTTTAGTAGTATTTCATATTATTTTCATATTGTGTAGGGTGTGAAGGAACATGAAGGAGTAGAGCCAAATAGGATTGAGTTATACAAAAGCACCCATTACTCGAGTGAAAAAGGATGGTCATCTCCAGAGGCTGAGACTAACTACGTAAGTAATATTTTAGTAACATGTCACATGTATTCATTCTATCTTATAATTATTTTAACTGATGTAATATTTTTATGTAGAACAAAATGAGAGATCTGAGAGCTCGGTCTGTTTCTGAAGAGAATCCAATGACTATTGATGAAATTGTTGATAATGTACTTGGTACAAGGTCGGGATATATTAAAGGCCTTGGCTATGGTCCAAAGCCTAGTACAACTACAGCAACAAAAAGAAGGACAGCAGAATTAGAGGATGCTCTTAGGAGGGCAAAAGAGGATGCTGCTACTGCCCAACATGGTTTACAAGAACGTTTGAATGTAGCTGAAACTGAGGTAGCAAATCAGCAAATACAGATACAAACAGTAACTTCTGAGTTGGGTACTTTAAGAGCAAGCCAAGAGGAAATATTAAACCAAATGAAGCGTCATTTTATTGGCTCATCACCATCAAAGTTAGAAGTACTACATCTTTAAATGATAAATTCAATTATAGTTCTTTTAACATCTAAGTTCGAATGTTTTTTAAATGATACAGCGAAGATTGAGCCTCACCAGTTTATCACCTTTGGGTACACTAAACTTCACACTATTTAATTTTTTTCTTATTTTTATTTATTTGCATCACAATTCAATTATTTGTTTTACCAATTAAACTCTACGTCTAATCATAATTTTTTCTCTATCTTTTATACAGGTATATGAAGATAACTATTGGATCAAGAGTAATTGCAAGTGAAGTGTCACTGCATTCCTCCACTTCTCAGTCCTAGTTTAGGAGTAATATTTTCAGTTAGACTTTTATGTTGGACATATTTACTTTAACTATGTTTCTTTTAATTTATGGAGCTTTTATTTCAATATAGTTTTAATATTAGTTTTATGATCAATGGTGAATATTTTTGTTATTACCTTTGGTTGTTTTTATTTTTATGTTATTACCTTGATTGTTTTATTATGTTATTTCAAATTCGTATAACGTCAATCTAAAACAAATACGAATATAAACGTCATCAAACATTTGTTACTAGTGACAAAAAAGTTCACTTTTGTATAGTTTTTAGGAATATCACATTTTCGTCACTAAAAAAATTAAGTTCGTCATAAATTCACTATTTTTAGTGACAAAATAATTCATGTCCCAAAATCATCTTTTTATTGACTACGAATCAATCTTGTATTTTTTGACAATTGTAATTGTCACTAATTAACTTATAGTGACAACTTTGTTTTGTCGATAAAAATATTCTTTTTAGGGACGAGAGGGTAGTTGTAACTACAAAATTATAATTGTCACTAATTATATATTTAGGGACGAAATACTTTTTTGTAGATAAAAGGTAGTCTTTAGTGACAAAATTACGGTTTTTCAACTACGAAACATACGTAGCTTTAGAGACATTTGACGTCGTCACTAATTAAACTAAATTTTTAGAGACGAGGCAGTTTCGTCGACACTAATGCACTTTTTAGTGACGAAATCATACTATTAAGTACAATTTTTTTGTACTTTTTATGACAAATAAATCCGTCATAAATATTACGTATTTGGGTACGAAAAAGAATTTTGTATTTAATATTTCATTATTTGGCGATGAAACACAAAGTTGCCTTTATATGTTATTAATGACGGTGTTTTAGAGACGAAAGATTGACAAAAAAAATTTCGTCACAAAAGATCTTTGGTGATGAAAAGTGAATCATAGGTGACAAAATAATTCATCATTGATAATAAAATTTGTTGTAATGTGGTGATATCGCAACGCGAAATACAAATGTAACCCCAATAGCATTATATGGTTTTATGTGCCCAATAGTAAAATTTGTCACTAATTAATCGCAAAGAACGGATGGTAAAAATCGATAATAAATTGATTTTACTGCAGATTTGAGGTTGTACAGTTCATAAAGAGAATTTTTCCCCGCATCTTCATCAAATGCAGAAAGCCAGGAATCTCCACTTGTATCAAACACTAGTAACTCCAACACATATTTGAAAATAAAATCTACATGCTTCTGGCATTTTTCACGTAACTTTTCAGGTTGTAGCCCCAACGCATGTTCCAAAAGGAATTTTTGTATTGCAAGTTTTACAAATACAAAGCCAAAGATTGGTCTCAACTTCCTTTACCTTGACCCGTCGTACGTTATAACATGCAGGCTAGCCAAAACAAAACAAAAAAAAACGAGTGAAATTCACACAATAAACTAATATATATATATATTGTAGTCCTACTTGAGACTAACCAAGGAAGGGGTCAGCAGTTACTTGTGACAGTGGGACTACAACATCATCTTGCTTTCAGCAAACTAACAAATCTAAGCGTAATTAGAATTAAACATATCAAAAATACCTAAATAATCGATAAAGCGATTATCAATTTTTTTAATATATTACAATTAGTACTACCTTTATCTATCACGGAGATGTTAGATTCTTACGTCCGTGAACGAAATTAGAATTTAGTACTCATAATTTCTCATAGATTTAAATACATACACAACTTTAAATTTAAATCTCTCTCTCTTTCTATATATATATATATATATATATATATATATATATATATATATATATATATATTTTAATCCATGCAGTAGATGTACACATAAATTTTAATCCATTCAAGGATGTCTTCCACGTTAGAGTCAATGTGTAGGATGTCTTCCGCGTTACATGAAGGTAGTATGTTAGCAAGGTTTTAGGGATAATTTCACATAAATACAACTCACACACCTGACTTGCAACATAATAGCCTAGATACCACTTTGCAAATCTATAGCCCAAAAAATAATAGGCTAATTCCTGAAAGACAGCTTTTTGCTCCTCTGCATACAACCAGTTGTTTTCATTCTGTTGATTTTCTTTGATTATTAAGTATTTGATAAAAAAATACAAATCAGCCACAACACAACTCAAAAATCCTGAATAATACATATTATCTGAAGGTAAGAAATTTAAACACTTTTATGTGCAATTGCTGAAGCAATCCAACAGGATAAAAGAAAAATAAAAACTTGGTAAATGAATTGTAGAATCCCTCCAACGCTCATACAACACATTACACGAAAAAGAAAAAGAGAAGGAAGTGTCAAACTTCTGTAGAGGTCTCTTACACACTAACAATGTATATACATCCTTATAAACTGAAAAAATATATAATTATACAATATTATACACAAATATATACATTTATACACAATTATACAATACTGTATAACTTTGTATAAACATGTATAATAGTCTATAAGAGGTGTTTGTATATCCATATACACAACTATACACTAGTATACAGTGTTGATACAAACTGCTACATAATTATGATTTTTATCCAAACCCAATTTCAGATTCGAGACTTCAAGGTCATAATAATAATGACCAGAACTTCAAACTTCAAAATCTTCCAACATTAGTGGTTATTTTTTGGTGCAAATCAAGTTTGAGAGCTATTTATTTTCAGATCTGTGTGTATTTTCATGTTTCTTTCAAAAATCTTCAATATTCTTATGCTTGCCACCATGGACGACGGAGTAGGAGCCCGAGCCTTCTTCGAGCCATTAATGACAGAACTGCGTGGGGGGCGGGGGGGTAGAGGAGGGGGAATAAAGCTGTTATGCTCCTCACAAATTGAAGTTGCTTCAGCTATTTACTAAGATAATCTGCGTAAAAGGGGGAGGCAGATATGTTGCAGATGCTATGTGTTTGTAAGAGAAGCATAATACATTGCTAGTGGCTAATTTTAAGAGAGGATGAGAGATTTATGTGGGTTAGAAAGAAAGAAGTGAGATGCGGTGAGAGAGAGAAGGGAATGAAGAAAGAAGAAAATAATAAAAACCCTAAAACTATATCTTTAATAGTGGGCTAAAGGCTGAAAAGTTTCTTTCAAGTTATGTACAACATGGGCTAAATAGGGTAAGAGCTTCAAATGTGGGCCATTTTTGGTTGGGCTATTAGGCCAAGTGACATGGCCTGTAATTCTTTTTTACTTTACCATAGATATCCCTAAGAGTACACTAACAAGGGAAAAGGGTTACTTATACCCCTTTACTATTGGAAATTAGTTATCACTATCTTCCGTTATACTTTTCGAAGGTATTTGCCTTCTCCATTACCTATTTGGGAAAAAAGCCAGATTTGTCCCTCTACTTTAGTAAAATATCCACGTTTATACCTAGTTCTACTATCGGTCCAAATACGTCCCTACCGTTAAGAAAGTAGATAAAAATATCCACAACCCTAACGGTTGTCCACAGTGGCAAGGGACCACCTCAATAAGAAAAGGGAAAAGGCCAGATTTGTCCCTCTACTTTAGTAAAATATCCACGTTTATAACTAGTTCTACTATCGGTCCAAAAATGCCACATAATTAAATAATCCACATAATTAACTCTAACTCTTTAGTAATTAACCAATCTACCGAAAATCTTCCTTCTCCTCTCTTTTTATTTCTTTAGTAATTTCATATTCTTTTTCTTGCCAGATTTCTCATACTTATTGTGAAACTTGTTTCCATTATCATGGTGAGCAAGGCAATTTATTTCCCTTGTTTTGGTTGGACAAAAAGGAAGATTTTTATTTATCTTTTTAAACAGGAGGAAAATAGCTGCACTCTAGGATGAATTTATTTTACAATTTTCTTTCTTTGTGAAATGAAATTACAAAATGGAAAGTAACTGAACTCCTTGCGTTCCCTTGTTTTCCACCATATTAACGTTCTTTGCTTGCCGCCATGATTAAATGAAGTTTTCCGTCTGTTACATGCTACAGAAATTTTAAACATATGAGAGACTAAATAATTCAGATTCAACTAAGTGTATTATTTTGACTCTTTGGAGTATGAATGTCAGCAAATAATATTGGATCATTTTAAAAAAATATTTAGTTATCTAGCTTGGTAGAGAGGCTACGTGTTCACATCGTCCCCATATATTTGCCAATAAATTCATCCCTGCGTAGCACTCATTTTGTTTACAAAATTGATTTACTAGTACTTCTTTTTTATAACATTAGACTTCGAACAAAGTTTTAATGGTTTGTACCTCTACTTTAGTAAAAAAGGGAAAGGGAATCAGATGGTAGGGAAAAGAAAAAGAGAAAAAGTAGTAAAATAAGAAGAATAGAGAGTTAAAGTTAATTATGTGGCATTTTTGGATCGGTAGTAGAACTAGGTATAAACGTGGATATTTTACTAAAGTAGAGGGACAAATCTGGCCTTTTCCCTTTTTTTATTGAGGTGGTCCCTTGCCACTGTGGACAACCGTTAGGGTTGGGGATATTTTTATCTACTTTCTTAACGGTAGAGACGTATTTGGACCGATAGTAGAACTAAGTATAAACGTGGATATTTTACTAAAGTAGAGGGATAAATCTGGCCTTTTTCCCTACCTATTTTAATATTTTAAACCCCTTAATCTAACGGAAACTCAGACCCAATTTCACTCAAAATTAAACAAAAAAAAAAAAAAAAAAAAAAAAAAAAAAAACTTGCCGCAGGCCGTCATATTCATCATCCCCAAATAGAACTCTAAATCCCAATAAAAAATCAGAGAATTGATTTTTAATTTTCTCAAATGCATAATTGTTGCTCTTGTTCTTCCTCTTTTATTTGTTTTCTCCCGTTCCTCGGCTTGACCGCCCCTTGTTCCTCTCCATATTCTCGTCACCTCCACTGTTCACGTTGTCGAAATGTTGGTCAACCCACATAAATTTTAACTCAGAACCTCCAAATGGGAAGATCCAATTAAATTCTACCTAAAAGTTATCGACCAAAAATGAATTTGTGCAAATTGAAATGCATTCATGAGTCTTCAATTAAGGTAACTGAAAACAGAACAAAAACTGATTTCGACTCTTACCCATTTAGATAATTGAAGATCAATTAGCTCTTGGTAGCTTGTGGCTACCTGCTGCCTGCTGTTAGTTTGAGTTTGGTTTTTGCATCATGGAGTATCACTATTTTTGAGTGATAGAATACAGAGAAAAAGAGAGATAGAGATTTTTTTATTAATTACCAAGTACAACCATTATGTGCAGAGAGAAAAGGGGAAGGCGTGGAATATGGGAAGGAAAAGATCAACCCATTTGGAAAATAGCAAAGGACGAGTGGGGGCATCGGGTCGGGGCTAAACGGGTGGGTTAAATGGGTATATAATTAGGTTGTTTAAGATTGTGTCACGTGTCTATTTAAAGGAGTTCGTCAGTTGTGGACGCAAAAATATTAAAATGAGTAACGGTAGGGATAGATAGTGAAGGAAAGTATAACGGAGGATACTTATACCTAATTTCCGATAGTAAAACGACACATTTGAACCTTTTTATTCTAATGAGAGGGACGATTTTGTCTTCGTACCAAAAATTAAACACAGGTCTTAAAGTCGTGCTGTGGATTCTTGGAATCATGTGGAAATTGAAGACGAAATTGCTAAGTTTCGACTTTATGTTTGACAACAACTTTGGGGAAAATAAAGGATTTTGAGAGAGATTTTTTATGAGGACTGTGTTTCATCGAAAATGTATTAACCTTTTCTTAAAACGAATTAATAAGTAAAATAAGGGGAGAATCCTAGTTAAAGTTAATGACTACTAGATCTGGAGATTCAGTGTGTAAATAAGATCAGACTGCGTCCAACAATATTAAATGTAAGCAAATCTTGCCTAATAATTGTCAATGAATGCAATAAAAGGTGTATAAAGTGAGTGCTTATAATAGCAATAAATGTAATAAGAAGGAATTTAACACACAAATATTAAGTGACTTGGGTGAATCTTCTATCTGACAACAACGTGGGATAATATAAAATAGGGATGAACACGAGACTCTTGGATCTTGTGAACGAAAGGTATATTGAGAACAAAGGAATCAGTGGAAAAGACAAGCTTTGTAAGTTCTTTGTAGTCAACTTTACGAGTGTGCTCTAATCAGAAAATTCCATATCCCAATTGTTCTTTATCTCTTCTTATTTATAGGATTATTTTTAGGAAACCCTAAGAAAAGTACAACTGAAGGAATATTCAAATGGAATATTCCTCCGCTCTGCCCTAAGCTTATACTACCGTTATTTTCACACGTTCTCTACTCGACCTCGGCACTAACTCTCCTAAAGATGATTCCTCGTCACTAAGCTATGGTCGGCTTAAGCTTCGACCACGTCCATTACAGTTGTTAAATCCAATCCAAATTTTGACCAATACAGATTGAGAGTTATTTAGATTTTTGCACTTACGTGGGGAGCAGGGGTATACATGGACCGAGTTGGTTCGGTTCTTATCAAAATCAAACCAAACCAATTATATTGGTTTGGATTGGTTTGGGTTTGTCGGGTGTTTCGATTTTTTGGTTTTTTTTAATTATATGAATATTGTTCCAATCTTGCTTTGTTAAAGTTATAGATAAAGTTTTGATAAGTGAATATATGTTTAGTAAATATTGAAAAAATTGACAAACATGTACAACAATAACAACAACAACCAAGTATAATCCCACTAGTGAGTTCTGGGGAGGGTAGTGTGTACGCAGATCTTACCCCTACCATGGGTAGAGAGGCTGTTTCCAAATAGTCCCTCGGCATCCTTCCCACCAAGAACTCCCTACCTTGCTCTTGGGGTGACTCGAACTCACAACCTCTTGGTTGGAAGTGGGGGTTGCTTACCATCAGAGCGTATGTTTGGTATTGAGTAAAAACATCCGAACTAAACTGACGTATATATTGACAAAATATTTTAAATTCTAATATTTATTTAAATTTGGTATATGTAGGATTGAATGAGTTAGTAGGATAGAACTTTTCGTAAAAATTGCACGGGGCGTTCTAACCTATACCCATTTTTTTAAAATATTTTAACTCGTGCCCACTTTTTAAACAACTTCAGCCCCCTTTCTCCTCCTTCTCCTCCTTCGTTTTCTTCTTCTTCTTCTTTCTTCTGTTGTTGGTGCTGCTAAAGCAACTGTACAATTTTTAAAGTTTCTTATATACAGTTGCATCTTATGCTGAAGTTTTTGAAAAAGCTTATCCAGGACAAAAAAAAGTTCAGCTTATTTAGTGCTGAAGTTTTTATAAATGAAATAAATAACTTCAGCATCTTCAGCTGAAGTTTTTGAAAAAGCTTAATGACAAAACTAATGAATCCAGGACAAAAAAAATTCAGCTTATTTAGTGCAATTACAAACAAAAACATCAGCAAATATAGAACAAAACTTCCGCTACTATGCTTAAGTTCAGCAATTACAAACAAAAACTTCAGCAAATAGAGAACAAAACTTCAGCTACTATGCTTAAGTTCAGCAATTACAAACAAAAACTTCAGCACACTTGGTTCAGTACTTCAGGCCCGTCTACTAGAATGCTGAAGTTTTGCTTGATTGCCATTGTTACTTCAGCCCCGTATGCTGAAGTTAAGCAAAAAAGTGGGTACATTTGTAATTTTTTTGCAAAGCGGGCACAAATTAAAACGTGACCCAAAAAGCGGGTATAAATGCAAATCCCCCGAACTTTTCTCTTACTAAATTAAATAAATCTTCTCATTAATTCTATTTTACTTTCTTTCTTTTTTCATATTTTTTACTATTTTATTTTCTAATTTAAAATCAAATTCTCTAAATTAGCTATTCCTTTTTTGTCACATTTCATAGATCCTGATATATGTAATCAAGTTCTTTTGTGTCTCGTTTTTATAACTAAGAAATCTCATAGACAAATATCGTAAGGTTCAAAACACGATCGATAATAGGCTCAATCCTTTTACCATTTTCATTTAATGCTATATGTTTTTATAGGGAGTTCAATACTATATGACTTAAGCCTAACCCACATATTATACGTTGTTCTCTCACCATTTTTTTTGTCTTCATATTATATGGATATTATGAAAGAAACTCAGGATCTTTTAATATATTTTAGTTTTAAGCCACCAGTTCCGTTGACTCATTAATGATCAACAATTATTTACAGATCACTGCCAATGAACGTGTTATTCAACAGCTTCATTTACATTTGGTAGCTAAATAATACATTCATTGATTGTTGTCTTATCTTAATTGAGACTATAAAATTTAATTGAGAATAGCATGGAGATGGACATGTAGCTCGATTAGAAGACTAGTAAAGCTTTAATTTAGGTCCCCAAATTTTTTTAATAATAGATTTTATGATTTTATTTCAAGTTAGACAATATTAAAGTTTGCGGAAAAAATACAATAAACCTTGGACAAAAGAAAGAAAATCTACTCTTTAACACTAAAAATATTTTAGAACTTTGAATTAAATTACTTAGATCTTCATATTAGCAAATATATTTTTTACAACAAAATCAAAGGTTACATATTGAAAATACATGTCTTATATCAAATTTATTTAAGTTACTTCTTACTAATATAATTAATAATACTACCATGTGAAGTTAAAGGTTTCATCATTTAAGTATGTTATGCTATAAATAACAAGTATGAAAAAATGGCAACCCTATCCTTTTTTTTTTTTTTTTTTTTTTGTATATGTGTATGTATATATACTAATAAAAAGGTATATACTCTCACTCATATACCACCATTCCTAGCTACTACTCTCACTCATAGAAGCAATCATACAACTTGTGACAGTCAACACAAGAACATGCATATGGTTGCTCAACAAAAACCAACAAAGCCATCACCTCTCCTTTCTTCACACTCAACTCCAGCTCCCACAAGAACTTGGGAACAGAGTATTCTACCAGGCAACCACCCTCAGATGACCCATCTCCCAGAAATAAGTCACCACAAGACTCAGTTCCCAGAACACAAAAGAACCTGGGAACAAAACAGCCTGGTGCAAACCACTCCTCCTCAGAATCACAACCTTTATTTCCCATTAAACTCCACACCCCAGAAAAGCAGTTCACAAGTTCCCACAATCCAGTCATCCAGCTATCATAACAGACAAGATCCTAATTGCAGCCCCCACAAGAACCTGCAGATAGGTGTTTGTCACGATATTGACTGGATACCCCTCTTCAGATCCCCTTCTTATTTAATTCTCTTCCCTTGTCAGTTGTCACACCCAACTCTTATGTCCAGTACCCACCAGAAACTGGAAACACTGGCATCCAACTCTTGTCTCACCTATCCATCTTCTAAGGTCCACTCACTCATTTCAATATATCAAAACAACACATCCCAAGGATTTGTCTCCAGAACTAACAAGAACCTGGACACATAGCCATTTTTGTCTAACAAGTTTGTTATTTTTTGCAGGTATAGTTCCAATATTGGGCCAGCTGGTACACTTTAAGTGTGTGGTATTAGCATGCATGTGCTCAATCTACTGGAAGGGTATCCAACTAGCCAATCCACTTATTCTGGTGATTTATCCAATCCACACACACGCAGCAAAATAATTAAAAACAAAGTTCAAAATAATTTTACAAAATATTCAAGAAAAGGGGACGAATTTACCTTAGCCAACCAAGATACTCCTCAATCCAGAAACGAACTCCATCAGCGCCCAATCTGGTCTCAATCTCTACAATTTTTGTCTTAAGGTTCTTCAATCCAAAGTGCTGGTACAAAATTTGAAAATTACTAAGTTCTGATTGCGAGAAATAAGTACTAAGGACGCAGCCTTTGCAAAAACGGTGATCGCCAACATAGTTGCAAGGACCACAACCAGAATCAGGTGGCATATTGTGATCGTCCATGGTGGAATCCTGTAGGAAGAAGAGAAAAATGAGTGCGGAAGATAATCAGAGAAAGAGGAGAAGAAGAAAGAAATTCGAAGACAAGGAAATGAATTCATTACTCCCCGCTCCTTCAGTGGTTTATTAAAGGAATTTTTACATTCCTATACCACATAGGAAACCTTTTTACCCTACATGTTTAAGGTTTGAGTAAATTATACTAAGAGTTTCATCGAGCTGAATTCAAATTGTAGAATTCAAAATTTTCGAATTTCAACAACTCAAAGTTGAAAAAAATCTGCTCTTCGTCATTGCTTCTATCAAATTATCGATCAGATATATCTCTTCTTCATCTTTTCTTCTTTCAATCTAGAAATCCAAAAAAACATCAACATCAACAACAAATCATGTCCAAAATCGCAATCATGCTACAATTTAATGGGGCTTGGGATAATTATGGCAGATTTAAAGATTTTGAAGTTGATGCCATTGTGGTAGATGAGAATGCAAGCTACAGTATCCTGATTTCTACAATTGCAGAACAAGTATCAATTGATACTACAGAAAAAATTGTAGAAATCAAATACATCGTGAAATCAAATAGTAGATTGTAGATAATTTGTAGACAAATTGTAGTTAATTTGTAGATTGTAGATAATTTGTAGATATAATTGTAGATACGTTGTAGATAAATTGTAGATAAACTATTTTATGAATGTAAATATTTTTATTGCTGTTTGTTATGTAATTCTAGGTGAGGGCTTCAACAGATCATATCCATACTGTGATAGATGGTGTGAAGCGGTACATGAATCCTACATTATAACTACTATTAACTACAAAAACTCTACAATTATGTATAAAACCAGTTCTACAATTCAAACAAATTTACCTACGGTTTACCTACAGTGAATGTACAAATTACCTACAGTTTAAGTACCTAATATAAGAATAACTACAATTTACGTACAGTTACAGGGCAAACAGGAAACACATCATCCACAATCATGTCTACATTATATCTACATTTTAGACTACAATTAATCTTGGAATGTTCTACATAAACTACAAACTAACTACAATTACACTACAAACAGTAAATCTAGATGAGGGCTTCAACAGATCATATCCATTACACTAAATCTACAATTACACTGCAATTACACTACAAATACACGACAAACAGTAAATCTAGGTGAGGGCTTCAACATCAGTATTTCTAAGTCGATTGGAGAAGTTGTCGGTAACTTTTCATATTAGTCTCTTTACCAATAAATTTCTCATTTTTGACTTTTCTTGAAGAGGGAATTTTGTTTGGTACCCAAAAAAAAAAAAATACTAAAGTGTATCTGTTTTCATTGTTTTGCTAGTTCTTGGCGTATTAAAATGTTTGTTTCAACTTTTGATTTCTTGTAGACTTTCAGAAAATCATATCACATGCCACAATTGTTGGAGAGGAAATTGGCACGACATTCAAATATAATGAGATTTCGCTTGCTAATGCATCTCAAGGACATCTTTCGTTGATTGATCTTGCAATCGTGGATGAAGAACAAGATAAAATGTGGGGTATGGGTAAAAACGTGGGTGAGGGGGTGAGGGGTAAGGAGAGAGAAACGTGAGATATATGGATACCTTTAATTAAGGAGTAAAAACTGCCCATTAATTAGATAGGGATACCTTTAATTAAGGAGTAAAAACAGCCCATTAATTAGACCCTTAATTAAGTATGGTTAGGATTGGTAATTTGGTTTACTAAGTGTAATTTACTCAAACCTTAAACATGTAGGGTAAAAAGGTTTCCTATGTGGTATAGGCATGTAAAAATTCCTTAATCAGCCTCATGTAACGGTCCAACTAACTAACTCATCTGGGCCTTTTATTTATTATTGCTATTTTTAAACTGCACCGTCCAAACTCCAGTTTTATAAGGCGAGGGCGTGAGGCGGGGAGTTTTACCTCTGATGAGGCGAGGCGTAAGCCTTGAGACATGGGGCGTAAGTCCTACGGATCTTTAAATTTTACTAATTTCAAGAATTTTAAGATAGTATAAATAAAAATTAATTATAAAATTACATTAAAGTCGCAAAATTATAACAAATAATCTATTTAAAATATTTATATTATAATTCAACTAGAAATAATACGAAAAGTTTGGCATATATCATATCTAGATGGCACGTGCCCGTGCCCGCACGAGCAAATGCCCGACAATATTGTTTGTGTTATTTGCACATCTACAAGATCAATGAAAAAGTGCAACACGGAAAAATATGTTAATACCTATATCAAACTTTTGACATCACCCCAAAAAAAGGGAAGCACTACTGTTAAATTATTAAATCTTTACTAACATATCAACACTTAATAAAAAATTTATGCATTAAGAGAGTAACCTTTGCAGATAAAAAGCAATTTCTTTAAAAGTGAAGAAAAAGATAACCCAAGAAACACATATTGTTCGAGTGTTTACACCAACAGAGCAAAGGCCCTGATATATGACAAAGTTCAACCGAGTTGACTAATAATCTACTCCCAGGAAAGGTATTACGGTAGACTTAGAATCTGACAAAAAGAATCAAAGAAATAGTAATAGCTAACTAAAGCATACTGAGTGACAAAACCAATATCCTCTCTAACAATCTTTTGGTTGCAGTGCTGACAGGAAGAGGGAGGTTTGAGAGTCTTTACTAACAACTTCTGTTGCAGCAAAAACTACAGTGGAAGCAACCGGTTTCACCAAAAGGATCCAAATTTTATCCCTTTATGTTTGAAAATTGTTTAAATTTACCATCCACTTTCAATTAAGAGGTTGTGAGTTTGAGTCACCCAAGAGCAAGGTGGGGAGTTCTTGGAGGGAAGGATGCCGAGGGTCTATTGGAAACAGCCTCTCTACCCCTAGGGTAGGTAGGGATGGCAATGGGGCGGTGCGGGTGCGGGGCGGGGCGGTTTTAAACACATGTGGGGCGGTATGGGTTTAAACACATGCGGGTGCGGTGCGGGTGCGGGGCGGGTCGAAATAAAAAAAAAAATAAAAAGTGTGCAGGTGCGGTGCGGGTGCGGGTTTAAAAAATTCATTAAAGAAGGAAACTCAATTTTCTACCATAATGAAGATGAAACCCATACCGATGGAAATTGGGTCTAAGCTAAGTAAACTTCTAACATAATAAATTCGGTATCTCCAAATCAGTAGTAAAATAAAGCGAATAAATAGAAAAATTATGTGGAGAAAGAATGAATAATTCGTTTACTAGTACCCAAAAGGAAGTTACAGTAAGTCTGACACTTCTAAGATTAACAAAATCTGCAACTCTTTGAAATTAATAAAAGTACGAGTAGATATAATAAATGTACAAAAAAAAATCCAGCCAAAAGATTAAAAAATAAATAAACTAACAAAATAAAGGGAAAAAAAGTTAAGCGGGTACGGGGCGGGGCGGGTGGCGCGGGTGTGGATGCGGAGCGGGTGAACGCGGGTGCATTTGCTAAGCGGGGCGGGACGGGGCGGGTTGAAATTTTGCGGGTTAAGAGAAAACCCGCACCGCCCCGCACCACTTGCCATCCCTAAGGGTAGGGGTAAGGTCTGCATACACACTACCCTCCCCAGACCCCACCTGTGGTATACTGGGTTGTTGTTGTTGTTATTCTTCAAAGGCAGCTTCATTAGGGGTCAAGAGAAAATTTGAGAGTTTTTCATAACAGCTGGATAAGATTAGACTCAAAGTGTAATATAGCGAAAAGGCGCACAATTATGGATAGTTCAAGAGCAATCTTGACCATTTTCCCTTCCAATAATGGTTCACAAGTCAAAATAAACATGAGGCCTTCAATTACAGGTATATAGTACACACACGACTGAATTTCACTATAAAGGCTACATTCTTCCTATTCCTGGATAACTGGTCATGTTCAGATTAGGTCGTATGCCTACATCAAGCATGGAAGAAAAAAGTTTAAAAAGGACCCCGAATAAACTGGCACGAACTTCCAGAAAATTACTTACGAGAGAAAAAGGAAAGAAATAAGGAAAGATTAATGCCCAATTCAAAAAAAGTATGGGGAAGACGCAAAGTGAAAATAAACATAAAAAGGGGAGATGAAAATTTTCATATCACAAGATTATGCAAGTGAAATCAACTAAAAAGTATAAAGCATTTTTTCTGGTAAAAGAACATATCTAAGAAACAAGAACATACAGGCATGAAGGCATCAAATTGAGGGGCTTGGAACATTTCCAAGCCAGAAAACTTCCTTATCAATAGAATTTTTATAGGTCTTGCATGATGAAAGCAATGACTTTGCATACTCTGCTTCCGATGGCGCCATTTTCACCTAGCTGGTACTATTTACTCTCTTTTGGGTGTTTGTGTTGTCATTCTTGTGCTCTCTAATGGGCTTTGGAATGATGAACTTCGGATGCATTAATATCAGTAGCAAAGTCATGGAAATGAATTGCACTGTTGTTATTTTGTCTACTAAAAATGGCATTTTGACTGTAAAAAAATTGTCTTCCGTCTTTAACTTTCAAAGTTGCATAAAATGAATTAAGCTCAAAGGAAAAGAAGAAAAATACAACATCTAATAAACAACAAGTATTATCTAAGTCTGCATGAGGACAAAGTCCTTCAGGTCGCCAGTTCGAGCCCCTGCAGGGCCACTGGAGGCATTACAAACCGGCCGCGTCTCCAGGGCCCCGTGGAACTAACCGTGCACCCGCATTGAAACAGCGGGACCCGGTGGGTACAACTAGTCGGGTTCGCAAAGCGATGCCCGGAAACCACGGCTATATGAAAAAAAGTATTATCTAAGTCTTTAAATCTACTATATATATATATATATCAATGAATTCCTATTCTAGGAATGCTAAAGCTAAAGCTTTTCTCTAAGTATAGGCAGCATTATTTCTAATGAGATAAAACTGGTGCAACATACATACTTAATACTACATCAAAAGAATTGAATGAATAGTATAGACCTGATAGAAGCACTAATACAGAGAGAAGTTTGAACGTCGTTTTTTATGTCATTGTAATGAGACGAAAGTAAAAGAAGTAAAAAGGATAGACAATGTATGTCAAGAAAATAAGTAAGATGCTGGTAACAACAAAATCTGTCTAGCACACTTCCATTTATAGCTTGATAAGTACTTTAAAGAGGATTACTTGAATCCTTGAGAAATTAGGTAGAGAAAACTATCAAAAAGGAGGAACCATACCTGTATGTAAGCTAAAGAAGCAGTTTATTCTACCAAGGGATCCTACTAAATTGAAGTATAGCCGGACATATGCCAGTTGCTAATACTTTTCAGCGAGGCTTCAAATGGGACAAGTATGAATCTGCAAAAAATTATTTCTGAACTCAAACATTGTAAAAGTGAAGTCGATACTTTAGTCATGAAAAAGAAAGGGGGAACCTATAAACAACCTGGCTCTAAGCCATACGAAATCGACTTTTAATGCCGTAGCCAGTTATTGTATGCAGCAAAAAGAATTATCTTTAAACAGTGGAAAACTCTGACCTTACATCTGTGTTTGGAAAATTGAGTTGATTTACTCTTCTCCTAGAAACTACAAATGTATGTTCTGACAGTATGAAAGGTATGATTAATTAGTACTTTAATTAGAAGATTTGAGTGACTAAGGTTATTTGCTATTTTTATCAGCACCTCTGTGCCAGCCACAATAACTATGAACCCTTATTTTCCAGATGCGCACACTTCATTTTCATCGGACCACTTAATAACAAATCTGGAAATACTAATCTAATGCGATAAAATCTTATGCACCTTGGTAACTTATTAATTCCTTTATCATCTCTGGTCTGTCTTTTCTTGAAAGAAGATTTTCCATTGAAAAACTTCAAATCTAATGGAAAAGGATGTGGTGAAAATTTGTATTGGTTTACCAGAAATTTTTTTTTACTGCAGTATCCTATATTCTGAATTAGACTGTAATGCTTCATTATTTATTAATTCCATGCTCAATTCCCGAATTTAGAACCCAGCTCAAAATTATAAAACAACAAAAAATATAATCAAAATTACCAGTTCAAAATAAAAGCAAATAGATTTGACTAACAAAATGCATTAGACAAAACTAATTTCTTGCATCAAAAACTTGCCAGAGATTCCACAAAGTGAACCATACTTTTTTTGGTTATGGAGATTAAAATAGAATTATAACAGGGAGCTATTTATCAAAAGAAAATAAATATAAATAATATACATAATCAGCTAAAAATAAATAAAAGAACATATCAAATGAATTAACAATTAGTTTAAATGCAAGACAATGATTATTTCATTGATATAACGGAACATAATGATTTAATTAAAAGACCCTAAAATATCGAAAAACTACATGGCAAAAGAATGAAGAAAAAAGTTAGCTTATTTATGACATTCAGTTCATCTCAAACTGAATGTCATAAAAATGAAAAATTATAAAAATTCACTAACGCATGGTTCATAAGATTGTTGTAATCACGCCCTTTTGTGTTCAAACTATTCATTTTCATAAAGTTCAACGGTGTAGAAAAATCAGAAAATTGCAAAAAAGAAAACCTAGTAAAATGAAATTAGAAGAGAAGAACAAGAAATTACCAGATAATAAGTTAATAACCCAAGGGAGAAAGCAGGGAAGGAATAGAGCAATCAGATTATTACTAATATTACTAATCAAAAGGCTGCGAATGTATCTCTTATATAAGGAGTAATGGAAATTAGAAGAGAAGAACAACAACTTACCAGATAATAACCCAAGCGAGAAAGAATGGAGCAATCAGATTATTACTAATACTACTTATCAGAAGTCTGCGAATGTATGTTTGCCTTTTTACCCTATATCAGATTATTACTAATATTACTTATCAAAAGTGTGCGAATCTATATCTATCTATACTTTATTAAAAGACGAAGGCGCTTAGCGAAATAGTGTTTATCTTTTATATTGGATAAAATAGTAATTTAATTATTTTTTAATATTTAGGAATGGTAATTTAACTCATTCCCTAAAATTTAGGACTTCAAAATCAATTAAAGATTGTGTACCAAATCCTTCCTTATTTAAGCTATGTAATATAACATATTTGGAAAAAAAATTGTACGTTTCGTTAACATGTAAAAATCTTTGGATGGAACACTTTCAATTCCTAAAGTCATATATAGGAGTATTACGAAACGTATCACCACTTTGGAATCATTTTAGCTATAGGAGTACTCTCTCTTTTTTTAAACATAAAACACTAACCGATTATATTTCTATAAATATTTTATGCAAAAGTTTCGTTAAGTATTCTTATATTTTTAGGTTATAGTCCATTATTTTCAATCCTTTTACTTAGGAGTTTTATTAATATACGTTTGGCTAAAGGAAAGGGAGGACGAGGGTGTGAATCGGAAAAAGAAAAAAAACATATACCAAATAATTTCTCTTAGGTAAAAACAAAAATAAATAAATATATATATATATATATAATTATTATTTATTTCTATTACATTACATGGCCAGAAAATAGTAAATGTCGTTCGCCTTTTACCCTTAAAAAGTAACTTTTATAATGGACAAATTTGTAACATCGGTTAGTTTCCTAATATTTAGGACTTTGAAATTAATTAAAATTATGCATATTAAATCTTTCCTTATTAAAATAGGTAGAAAGTACTAATACTTAGGAGTTTAAAATTAATAAATAGTTTACCTTATGTAAATTGTACTAATTGACAATACATTCTTTGTGCAATACATATAAAATCAAGATGACAACAATGGCGACTTCAATTAATTTCTAATTAAAAATTAAAAAATTGAGATATAAAATCACATACATTAAATTAAAATTATTTAGTACAATAATGTCTAACTAAAATTATTTCAATGCATAATAATTAAATATGTATTTTAAGTATTCCTATTTAATCATATAAAGTAATTAATTCATGTTCAATTAAGCACCTAAATTATTATTTAATATCATATTTAATTATAACAAATTATACAAGCCTATTATCTATATTTATGTGTATCTATTTATCTATCTATACTATATTAAAAGCACGATGGCCATTAGCGAAATGTCATTCGTCTTTTCTACCCTTTTAAAATAGAGTTTATATTGTACAAAATAGTCATTTGATTATTTCCGTAATATTTAAGAATAGTCTTTATTAAAATATAAATAGTCTTTATTTTTAATATAAAGATTTCTTTGCATATTAATTATACACAAGATTTTACTTACATAAATCATTCCTTATTTATTAATATAACACAATTCCTTCCATATTGTTTTACCTAATTCTATATCCATCTATCTATCTATACTATACTACTATATTAAAAGCACGAAGTTTCTTAGCTAAATATCATTCGTTTTTTTTACCCTTTTAAAATAAAGTTCACACCAGACAAAATAGTCTTTTATTATTACCTTAATATCTAAGAATAGTCATTTAATAATTTCCTAATAAGAAATCTTTCCTTATTTGAAGTAGATTCTAAAAATTGATCTTTGAATACCACATAAATTCTCGCTTGGACAAAAATCACCCCTCTTTAGCGTGATTCTACTTTATTTTTTTTTGATAAAGTTTAATCATTATTTCCTGGGAAAAAACCAATACATGCACTAATCTTTACAAAGAACCCTCTCTATATAGTTGGATATGCAGCCCTAACCTATATAAACTGCTTCACTAAACAAATCATCTACACATCAAACTCTGTCTAAGGATAGAAATTCAGTGTTTGTAGCTTCTTCTCCAAATTTATCCACTTTGAGCCTCTGCAATGTATGTCTTGGACTATCATTCTCACCAATTCTTCAGCTTTTCTTTTATTCTTCCTGAAAATTCTCCAATTCCTCTCCTGCCATAAGTAGTATACAGCTCCAGCTAGAATCATTCTATATATAGTTGCATCTGATATTCTCCCCGTTGCATATGCACTGGCCCAGCTTATTTCTTCCGACCATATCTTGGCTTTCCTTCCTGTTCCAGCCCAATACATTACTTTCTCCCACACATTGCTTGAGTATTTGCACGTAAAGAACAGATGATCATGGCTTTCATCAGCTGCTTCACATAACACACATTCTGCACTCGTAATATTACCCTATTTCATCAATCTTTCCTTTGTATATAGCCTGTTTTGGATAGCTATGTACATAATGAATAGCCACCTTGGACTACTACAATTGTTGCATATTAATCTCCTCCAAGTGACCTTTGTGAATTCACCCCTCATCTTGTTATATACCTCTCTGATTGAGTATTCCTTCCCAGTCATTACTTCTTCAATATTAATTCTTGCTTCTGTCAGGTATTTTCCAGCTTTTAAAATCTTCTGAGTTGTCCATGCTGCTTGGTTAGCCTTCACATTCCATGTTTTCACTTTCTTTATATAGTAGGTATGCATCCACTTGAACCATAATCTGTCCTTCTTATTGCATAGGTTCCACATCTACTTCAGGATTGCTGCTTTATTCCAAGTAACTATATCTGTTATGTTCAAGCATCCTGCAGTTTTTGGCCAGTAAAGTTGTGTCCATGCGACCAAAGCTTTCTTGCTCCCCTCTGCCTCCCCTGTCCATAGAAACTTTTTGCAAATGCTTTCAATCTTCAGTAGGATCTTTTTTGGCAAAGGAAACACTTGCGACCAGAATGATTGGATAGATAGTAACACACTTTTAATCATTTGTAGTCTCCCTGCATAATATAAAAATCTTGCAGTCCAGCTTTGCACTTTTGCTAAAATTTTGTCCAGAAGGGTTGACATTGGTTAACTGACAATCTTTTAGCGCTAAGTGGTACTCCGAGGTATCTGAAGGATAAAGTAACCAAAGAGAATCCCAAATTAGTCAATATTTGCTGCTACTCATGTCCTGGTATACCTCCAAAGTATATACAACACTTTTCTTGGTTTTCAACTAATCCTGATGAGGAGGAGAACTGTTGAAAGTAGTCATTACATCTATGCTGATTTGAGATCACCTCTACAGAAGACTAGAAGATCATCTGCAAAACTTAGTTGCAGAATATTGAGTTTCTCACATTTCGGATGAAAATTAAAGTCTGGTTTGTGCTGCAAATTCTTCAACAACCTTGTAAAGTATTCCATAGCTAAAACAAATAGGTAAGGGGACATAGGGTCCCCTTGTCTCACCCCACGCTTGGCATCAAAAGAAGTAGTTGGCTTATCATTTATCACTATTGAATAAGTGACTGTAGAAACACAAGCCATTATCTATTTTATAAATTGGTCTGGTATGTTCATTGCTGCCAGTACTTGCTCTAAGAAGACCCACTCCAATGAATCATATGCCTTCTGCATATCTATCTTGATCATACACCTTGGGGATATGCCTTTCCGACCATAACCTTTCACCAATTCATGTCCTAGTAAGATGTTGTCATTTAGGATTCTCCCTGGTACAAAGGCTGCTTGGCTTCCATCCACCAGATAATCCATTACCTTCTGCAATCGACTAGTAATCATCTTAGAAATAATCTTATACAGGACATTACAACATGATATGGGTCTATACTGTTTGATGGACTCTGGGTTTTTGACTTTTGGGATAAGAGTGACAAGGGTGTTGTTGAGTGGTTTATGCATTTTACTGTTTTTGAAGAATTCCAGAACAGCTTCTGTGATCTCATGTCCAATTATCTTCCAAGCCTTCTTGAAGAAATAAGCATTCAATCCATCATCCCCTGGTGCTTTTGAATCATCAATCCCCTTCAAAGCTTCATAGACTTCCTCCCTTGTAAATTGCTTTATTAGTTCCAGCTGGTGCTTCCTTGTAAGTACAGGTCCTCCCTTCATAATAGTGATGTTAATGGCAGGTAGTCTTCTAGTTGATTCCCCCAAAAGCCTCTTATAAAAACCAATAACTTCCTGCTCCACTCCATCTTCATTAGTTATCCAGTTTCCTCCCTCATCTTTTATCATTTTGATTTGATTTTGAGCTGCTCTCCCTTTCATATTTGCAAAGAAGAATGCTGTATTTGAATCACCTAATTTGAGCCATTGTACCCTTGACTTTTGCTTATATATTCCTTCCTCAATCATACTCTATTTTTCCAGTTCTTTTCTAGCTTTCTTCCCTGCTTCAAACATATCCCCGCTCTGATTATTCTGCCTCATTTGAGCTTGCACATTTGCCAGTTCTTCTCTCTTCTGTTGTACCTTCTTTGTTATCCCTGTATATTCCTGCATGTTTAAATTCTTCAGGCCATATTTTACCTTCTTTATATTCTATATTATACCTTCCATCTTACTGCCTTTATATTTCCAACCATTCTGCACTACCTTTTCAAACTCTTCATGTTCAGCTAGACAATTGTAGAATTTGAATGGTCTCCTTCTGCTATCATTTTCCTGCCCCGATTCAATTCTCAAAGGTGAGTGATATAAGAACTGAGAATCTAGAACTTGCACTTGTATTGGTGCCATTTCTAGCATCCATTTGGCATTCACTATCCCTCTATCTATTTTACTATATACATGGTTATTTGTCCATGTAAACCCCCTTCCCACTGTAACTAGTTCTGTCATTTGGCATTCCATCATAAATTCTCTGAAGTCCTTTATTTCATTCATCTATACTTCAGTACCATTCATTCTATCCTCCATATCCTTAATTGCATTGAAATCACCCATGAGAAGCCAAGGTATTGTCATTTGTTCTTCCAGCTCTCTCAAGTTGTTCCACAAATCACTTCTATTAGCTATTGTATGTAGCCCATATACAACTGTAAATGCAAACTGGACAGTGTCATTCCCATTCTTTACTATTCCATGTATGAATTGTTGGTGAACCTTCAGCTGTGAAAATATTATCTTGTTAGGATCCCACATCAACCACATTCTACTTTTACCATTCACTGAGCTATTTGCACACCATTTCCATCCAACAGCTATTTTTGTAATCGTATTTTCAATCAAGTCATCTTTTATTCTGTGCTCTATTATTGCAATCATAGTTACTTTATTCACCTTTATAAACTCCTTCATCTCTTTTTGTTTACACACTTTGTTGAAGCCCCTAACATTCCACGTGACTATCTTCATGTTGTTATGATTTTTTGAGGTTCCTGCCCTATATTCTCCTGCATCCTCTCCTGCTCATCAACTTTATCTGCCCAACTGTTTTGCTCCAGCATTGGATCCCCCCTCAAAGGAGTAAATCCATTTGTAATTTTTAGAGCAACTTGTTGTTGATTGATCTGCTTGTTATGAGAACTTCTTCCACTTGCTTTTTGCCATGCTTATTTATCCTTTTCCTCTTTATCATTCTGCTCATGTTTCCTTTGATTCCCTTTTTCCTCCTTATTTTGTTTACTTTGTTCCTTTGCTAACCACTGTACTACAGGCTTCTGCACCTTAGCTTGTTGTATTTGTCCTCCCTTCTTTTGTGTTGTTCTTTGCTGCTTTTGTTATTCGTACCCCTGAGTTCTGTCTTGTGTTTCCCTGTGTCCCTTCATATTGCTACAATCATGTCCAACCATACAACATTTTTGGCAGTAGGTTGGAACCCAGTCATATTCAACTTTCTGCTCAAAATTCTTCCCCGTTGGATCCAGTACCACAACACTCGTAGGAAGTTCTTTAGATATGTCCATCTCTATAAGCACCCTAGCATATAAAATTCTAGCTGCACTAGAGGTGCATTCATCAGCATAGATTGGACATCCTAAAATACTTGCTATCCTACTTAGTGTGATCTTCCCCAAGCAATTCAATGGCAAATTTGGAAAGCTCACCCATAATGGAATTTCTTTCAACACTTCATCATAGAAGTTAAAATCAGCAGTCCATGATTTAAGTATAATAGGTTTATTACCTATTGTGTGTGGTCCTGTGTACAAGACTTCATTCTTGTCCTCAATTGTATTGAACAACACCACAAAATAGCCCTCATTGTGATAGTATACTCTAGGTTTAGCAGCAAAATTCCAATTCGAGGCTATGAATCTCTCCATGGTTCCAATTGATGGTGCCACTCCAATGACATACATCACCACTGCCTTTTTCCACTTCTCATTCTCCTCTTCCATTTTAAATATGTTTTCGAACCTTCTCTTTAAAATTCAAAGTGGATATTCCTGCGCGAATCTCAGCAATTACTTGTTCTGATTCTACATATTGATCGTTTTGAACTAAAAGCAAACTTTTGGGTGGAATATTCACATTATGTAGAATATCTTCACTCTCAATAGTTACATACAAGTCTATAGAACATAGAAAGGCGGGATGCCCATGACGTGTACGTGTCGGATGAACCAAATCCTCATTGAATTTGATTTTTCCATTAGATGGGGCTCGCACATGTTCTGCAGTACCCCCCGTGAATACTCCTCCGGTATGAAAAGTTCTTAATGTTAATTGAGTACCNTTCTGCTCAAAATTCTTCCCCGTTGGATCCAGTACCACAACACTCGTAGGAAGTTCTTTAGATATGTCCATCTCTATAAGCACCCTAGCATATAAAATTCTAGCTGCACTAGAGGTGCATTCATCAGCATAGATTGGACATCCTAAAATACTTGCTATCCTACTTAGTGTGATCTTCCCCAAGCAATTCAATGGCAAATTTGGAAAGCTCACCCATAATGGAATTTCTTTCAACACTTCATCATAGAAGTTAAAATCAGCAGTCCATGATTTAAGTATAATAGGTTTATTACCTATTGTGTGTGGTCCTGTGTACAAGACTTCATTCTTGTCCTCAATTGTATTGAACAACACCACAAAATAGCCCTCATTGTGATAGTATACTCTAGGTTTAGCAGCAAAATTCCAATTCGAGGCTATGAATCTCTCCATGGTTCCAATTGATGGTGCCACTCCAATGACATACATCACCACTGCCTTTTTCCACTTCTCATTCTCCTCTTCCATTTCTTCCTGCTGTAATTGGGCCTTTTTTATCCCATCCTGAATCATTGGAGGGATAAACATAAGGTCCATTCCTCTTTCCGCCAACCTATTCCCTGCAAAAAGCTTTGCCCATGGCTTCTCTAATTTCCTTTCAGTTTTCTCATTTTTCCCCTGCTCTTTTTGTTCTTCAGCTCCTTGTCTACTCGTACTAGCTTTTTCTTTTGCTGATACTTGCTCTGCGACCTCCTTCTTAGCAGTTGCGTCAACAGTATTCAGTGTAACAGTGTTCAATGGAATAATACTTGTGGATCCAAACATCCCAATTGTTGTTGTAGGCGTCGAATTTGGATAGCTCCTGTTGTTACTACTCAAATTCACCGGTGTTATCGACGTGATTGCTTCACTTCCAGCTAGATCTGCTTGAATCAAACTTTTTCCTTTGTCATTGCTTGGGGTTTCCTTTGTAGAATTACTTTTTCCTTGACCATTGTTACTGCTTCCTTGACCTACAAATTCCGCTAATTGCATCTTCGTCGTGTTCTTCTTTGGTCGTCCTCGTTCCATTTCCGGTCAGTGTATTTTAGCATTCACGCTTAAAATGCGCCGAGAGAAGGAGAGTACTGCTATGAACTTTTTGTAATATTCTTAACAAAAATTTGTATTCTAGCGTGATTCTATTATTAACTTTAATATATCGCTAATCTCTAATCTCTCACCTTAACAAAGGCACTAAAATAAAGTCATAATTCAATAGGAATTTTATATTCATAGGAATCTTAATATATTAAATCTAGGTTATATTCCACAATAAAGTCGCCAAAGTGATCCTTGGAACAAATTAGAATGTAAAATTAAATATCAAAAAACGATAGAAAATAGACATTAACTATTATATTAAGAGGCTTTTAGAAGTTTTGAATTAAAAATTAAAATAGAAAATAGAAAAATTAAAATGGAAGGGTTTATAGATAAGCCTTTACAACTGAAACTATATATATTTTAAGAATAAATATAACATGTGTTGTATAGCTATTAATATAATATAAAATAACATGGAACGGTTTATAATACAAGCATATTATATTTAATAGTAAATTATACGATTTTCTGAGAAGTTATCGACTTAGTTACACGCGCAACGCACGTACCTTAAGACTAGTCACTTATATAAGCAGTAACGTTGAAAGAATTTTGATGTTATAATTTGATACTTTTTTAAACACTCCTTTTATTTAATATTATTTGAAAGAGAATTTATATAAAAATATTATTCACAATTCAAATATGATTCTCTAGCATCACTTATATTTTTAAGTTTCAACAAGTTAATAAAGTGACACATAATTCACCATACTATATCATGATAACTAATTGTTTGTGAATAGTTATTATCTAATATTGGGCTACTAAATTAATAAGTATTGTATCTCGTAAATATGAAAAAATTAATATTTAGAAAATTAATTATAAAAAAATTATGGACTATTATATAAAGGCATAACAAAAGTTAACAAATAAATACTTTTAAATAAAGAGTTATTTAAAATTTACCATCATAGCAGTCTTAGTGGATAACATGCGATAAATTTTTTAATTATGACATAAAATACTCTCAACTTAATGATTAATGATTAAGACAAAACTAATTTTAAATATCAACAATTTATTAAAAATATAGGAGGGTTTACAAGATTAGTTACACACAACTGCATAAAAGTTCTATTAGGCAAGTCCAATACGTTGGGCGTGTCCGGGGCGTAAGCCCCGACGGCCCAGGCGTAAGTCTCACGGAACTAAGCCTCACACATAAGCCCAAGGGCGTTTTGCGAGTGCTCCATCCAGGGGCGAGCCCCGGGCGAGTCCCAATTCTGCCTTTTAAAACAGAGGTCCAAACAAATAAGAGAAGTCTCATCTCCTTCTGCCAAGTCGACTCTTCACTAATGCCCTCTAAATTCCCAATTTAGCAATACGGTTTTCAATTCCAGCTGAGTTCCGACATAACAATACCCTCCTGTTCGGAATGACCTTGTCCTCAAGGTCTGAGTTGGCTAATAAAGTCCAGAAATTGACTTTTAATGTACCCCCAATCCTCCCATGTAGCTTCCTCCGGGATCAAATTAGACCAGTGTACTAAAACCTTCACAGACACTCCATTATTGACCTTCACCATGCGTCTCCTTAAGATAGCCACTGGCTGCACTCTCACACGACCATCATCGTTACAGAGGGGAGGCTGATGTTGAGCATTGATGTCAGGACCAACCCTCTTCTTCAGTTGCGAGACGTGGAATACAGGGTGGATCTGGGATCCTGCTGGAAGCTCTAGTCGGTAAGCCACTGCTCATATCTTCTCAATAATCTTGTAAGGGCCATAGTATTTAGCACTCAACTTGAGATTCTTTCTAACTGCTACTGATGCTTGCTTGTAGGGCTTTAGTTTTAGGTAGACCCATTCTCCTTCCTTTAATACTCTCTCCGATCTGTTTTTGTCTGCATAAAATTTCATACGGACTTGGGCCACTTGTAAATTCTCCTTGAATTGTTGCAGTATATGTTGTCTTTGAGCCATGCATGCGCCCACTTGAGTGTTTGTAGAAAAAGGTAGGGATCCCAATGGTACTTGTGAAGGGGGGAACCCATATAAGGCTTGAAATGGTATAGTCTTGAGGGTTGTATGATCATGTGTTGTACCACCATTCAGCCATTGGAAGCCATTTCAACCAATGCTTAGGATTAGGAAATACCATAGACCTCAAATAAGTTTCTAGACACTTATTTAGCCTCTCCGTTTGGCCATCCGTTTGGGGATGGTAGGAAGTGGACATAGTGATCTTGGTCCCCATAGCCTTGAACAACTGTTGCCAAAGCTGGCTAGTGAAAATAGGATCGATGTCTATGAAAATATATCTGGGCAACCCATGTAGCCTAGTGTCACGACCCCAGTTCGCCCTCCGTGAACTATCGTGATGGCACCTAGTCCCTATGACTAGGTAAGCCTAACAATGCAGAACGCAAATAAAATTTTTGCGGAAGAAATAGTTAAAAGTCAAATAACCAAATGGAACAATATATAAATGCTGCTTGGCATATACACACAACTTCTCAATTCTGATACACTATCCCAAAACCCGGAAACTCGTGGATCCATAAGCTCAGAAAGTACTACATAGATCTAATCTCCAAAATGTCTAACAAGAACATAAAGTACAGAAGGGCTAAATACTAAATACAAGAATAGAAAGAGACTCCTCGGTCTGCGGACGAGGCAGATATACCTTGAAGTCCCATAGAATCGACTCGCCTCAAGAATAATAAGCCTGAGTAGAGGTGCCTGGATCTCCACATGAAAAACATACACAGGAAAGGGATGAGTACAACACAACGACACTCAGTAAGTGCCAAGCCTAACCTCGGTTGGGTAGTGACGAGGAAGGTGAGGGCCCTACTGAGATAAAATACAAGATATAATCCAATAGTGTGGAAATGAGCAGTATAAGTAAGTGCGAACAACAGTAACATAACACAGTGTAAAGAGAACAGCAACAAATTCACAAAACAACGCAAATACAATGTAAACACTAAAGGAAATACAATTCAGTACCAATAATACCAACCAGGGATCTCCAAGATACCATCCCGAGTCCCATTTTCTTTTCATCTGTCCTGTGGATCTCACGGGATATCGTCTCGTAGTCCAACTATCAATGTACAGGGGGATCTCCCGGGAATCTAACCTGTAGTCCTAAATATAAATATGCAGGGGGATCTCCCGGGAATCTAACCCGTAGTCCCAAATATAAATATGCAGGGGGATCTCCCGGGAATCTAACCCGTAGTCCCAAATATAAATACCCAGTGCTGGGGGAATCTACCGGGTGCATTTCCATAGTTCCATATAACTGTGCAGGGGGATCTCCCGGGAATCTAATCCGTAGTCCCAAATATAAATGTGCAGGGGGATCTCTCGGGAATCTAACCCGTAGTCCCAAATATAAATGTGCGGGGGGATCTCCCGGGTATCTAACATCCATAGTCCCAATGTAAATACACAACAACAATCAGAGAAAATACTCAGAAAATATCAACTTCACAATAGGGCAAACAAATAGTCTAGCCTAGCCTGCTGCACAGAATCCAAATAAGGCATTTTGAGCAAGTAAATCAATTACGTCAATTA